CTAGAGATGGTTGTATTACTGTTCCCAAGGGTTGTTGTTTTCATCAGTACGTTAACAATAGTAGTGATTCACAGTATTAGGCTTGTACTATAAATAAATATATTTAAGTTCACTCGAAAGATGAGTATAAACTGTAACAAGCTTATCGTTGATGCGCGGCCAGTACTTTAAATCTGACTGACACTCAATGCCAAAACTCAACCTCGTTTCCTGGATATGCCACCACATTACTTAACGCCAATTAAAAACTGCGCGCTATTGTGCATTTTCTTGTACAGGAAAAACCAAACAGAATTTCTGATTCTGGCCCTTAATGGTCAGAATAATAACTAGGACTTTGTCTCTGACGAAGGAACGGCAATAAGCACAATTTTAACCTACTAGCAGGTTGTTGTTTAGTCTCGTCATGAGAGATAGCGTTGCGTGGCAAGTTCAAATTAGGGCTGTGAAGGGGACTGCAGGAAGCGTTGTACCAATGCAGTTTATTTTTGCCAATAATTATTCAGAAACCAGCATCAGTTATCTAGTGTCCCATTTCAACCTATGTATCCAAAAAAATAACTCCTGCATGCGTAGCATGCCTATGTTTTGGTGTATCTCAACGCAATGTGATCGGCCCAATTTTTTGGTGTATCACAAACCAATCAGATTGTAGTATTTTTCGATGTCGCACCAATCAAAGTGTTCTTGCTAATTTGTGGTTTGACAGGTCTTCAAATTTCAGCGAATCAACGCGTGACTCGAGGAGAGTGGTTGGCGAATTAAGGAAACGTATTAGTCGTGTTGGGAAAGCGGCAGAGTTGTGATAAATGTACGACTATGGTTATTCTTCGTTCTATAGGAGACTGAGTGGAACATGAGAAAAATTTTGAATCAAATGTTGCTTGAGATGTTGATAGGAGCAACTTCAGAATACCCAGCCGCTACTGACTGTTATGAATGGATTGCTCCCGCGGTCCCGATGTCGAAAAATAATATTAAAAGAGACGAATTTGGACAAGTGGTCCCGTATTCAAGCTTTCCTGAAGTCGAAGAATTATGAAATGATATGGCCGTTACACTAGTGCATCCGCAGTCCCGTGCACACGAAGTCGAAGAATGATATAACGAGAGGGCCGTTAAACTAGTGCTCCCGTAATTCCGCGCTTTTGAAGTCAAAGAATAATTAAAGAAAAGGAGAAGTTTACCAAGTGTTGACGCAGTCCCGCGCTTACTTTATGTCGTTTTCTCCACTGAGGGATATTTCATTGCTATACATGAACTCCACTTTTAATTTCGCTTAAAGAACGAGGTAAGAATGACATCTATAAGAATTGTGAGCTCATCTACCTAGTATAATAGCTGTTCTTAGTGAGGACGTTAATCACTATGACCTGTCGGGATTAGAAAGGTCGTCAGGAAATTTTTTCTACAAATTACAAGTTAAAACGTGCATGATTTGTGTACCACTCTTTCACTTATAACGCACACACCGTCAGCTAAAGGCCTGACACGAATTTAGCACCAGAGCGTGTTGTTTTGGAAGGGCTAGTTTTGCTGACTCTGGTAAAATTGCGCAAGGCACTTGCATAAATTTTATTTGATTGATGATCTTGTTTTTTTCCCTGTGGCTGCTCTCTTTGTAAAGGTTGAAAAGACCACCAAGTTTTTTTTTACTTTCTGCGTCGACTGCCATCTTAAATATCGTTTCTTTGCTTTTAAAAGTTCTCCGTGAATGAAATATTGTTTAAACGATACTTTCCCGTTACAATTGCGTGTTTACTTTTTACTCGCCAGTATGGACTAGACTTTCTCAGATGAAATGCCATTTTCCAGTAAACAACGCAAATTTTATGACATAATTCTCCCTCACTGAAAAATTTCTCAAGGAACATAATGGTACAGTCGGTCAATTTTCCACGCAACTCTCACGTGCTTAGACGTTTTCTACCAGTAAAATTCGCTTTTAGCCACCTTGGACTTTGCCCCATTGCGTGTCAACTCCCACTAAACAACCTGCATTTTATCACGTATTTCGCACGCACAGGGTAAAGTTCAGATAGGCAACAACCAATTAAGAAGCCCACGTTGTTATGCTTTGAAAAACGACACTTTTTTCTTCGTTCAGTCCATTTTCACTTGCTCGAAGAACGGAGACCGGAAAACATCTTTGTCTAGAGGGTGTTGGAGATAAAATAGAGCTTTCCACTGCAAAATTATATGGAAGAATATTTTGAGGCAACTATCTGTTACTGAACAAGAGGCTACAGGGAGCTTATATTCTGGTCGGATTTGCGGTTCAGCGGATTTAAATGAATTGGTTCGAATTGAAGGCGTTGCTGTTTTAGCAAAATCACTGTCCT